GAGTGGAGGCCCAATGTCCTTCTGCTACCTTAATACTAAACCTATAAATATAGGCTCATAGATCTATTTCCCCATCCTCATATAAATATACTTGATTTTAATAGAAAAAGCATTTAATTTAGCAGAATTACTAAAAAAGGTTTCACAAGCATATTTCTGGAGGATAAGATCTGTGCTTAAATATGCCATATCCTCAACAAGTACATGACACAAAATATCTGCTAAATACATATTTAACAAACAGAATGCATACCACAAGTTTATGAAAGTAAGATATTTCAGGTAGATCACAGCCATGGTTAACGTGTCTGACCTCTTCTGAACTGTATTACCTTTGATAAGCTACTCAAACTGTTGGTACCTCAGGTTCCTCACCTGTAAAATAGGGATCATAACGTTTCCTACAAACAGCATGGTGTTGTCGAGCAATTAAATGAACCAGTATCACTATGTTCTTGGTCGAGTACCTGGCAGAATATCATTTATAATAAGTGTTACATAGAACATATACATTTGTAATAGAATATTCCTTTATGTCTGAGAAATCAAGTAAATGAAGCCCACGAGAGCAAGAACGTGATGGGGCTGCCTGGCTTTCAAGATCTTACCAGTTTTCTGGCCTTGACAAGGTATAGTGTTTCCACTTTGTTCTATTATTGGACAGTGTTTGGGTTTTCGTTGTGTGAGACATTTCTGCCTTGCACAGGCTTCTGCTCCATAGGCTTTTCTTTATATGGATGAACAGCCATGATCATCATCCTTTTAATATTTAATAACTTAGCTTTTAATATTTTGCATTCTGTAAGTGACTAGTATATAAAACTACCAAATCATATATACAATATATAAAGGATGGTAATAATGTTACAAAATCATTAAAATGATCAATTATTATCATAAGGACAACATGAATTGCTTGCTTGTCAACCATATAAATAAGACAGATTAGAAACTTTGTCCCTGCAGTTCCTCTTAAACCACTCTTTTTTCCCTCTCAGGTGTTTAACCCTGTAACGCCTGAATTTTTAATTTCAGGTAAAAAATTTTTTGTTTTTATTCTTTACTTTCATAGTTATCGATATAAATATTAATATATAAATTTAATTAAATGTTATTAAATGTCACGCTCAGCATTATAGGGTTAAAATTTTTTTCACCTTGGAAAATTGTATTAATTTTAGTGTCAATAAGCACATAGCAACCCTCTACGACAGGGTAGAACTGCCCTTCAGGGTTTCTGCAACTACAACTGTTTGTGGGAGTGGAAAGCCTCCTCTTTCCTCCCATCAAACAGCACAGCTGGTGGTCTCAAACTGCTGATCTGGTAGCCAACAGCCCAATGTATAACCATTATGCTACCATGCATCCTCAAAGACATCAAAGAAGCATACAAAATACCCAAAAAAAGCATGTTGTTTTTCTCTCCCATAATGCTTGGTCCTTCTTCCTATAGGAATATATAATTGTTTCTTATGTATCTTGTGCATTCCAGAAACATCGTATGCATATTTTAACATACACAAATATACATTCTAGTGTGTGTGTTTGAATGTGTGTAATCTTAAACAACTAGGGTCAGATTATGCAACACTTTTCAGGATATTGCTTTTAAAAAATAATAAGCATTTAACTATTATTTGTATGTATCTCCAAGTCAGCATACACAAATTACCTCACTTTAAATAGCTGCATACTTTTTATGATATGGATTTACCATAATAGATAACCATGAAATTGAAAGGCCTATGGTATATATGTTTAATTTTCTTTGACAGATATAACTCTCCCAAATCTTCAAAACTGAGACATTTCGTAAGCCAAATGGCATTAAGTGAAGAAGCAAAGATAATGAATTTCTATAGGAAAAATTTCTGAGTGTTTTTAGACTCCCCAAATAAGTGACCGAATCATACTAAACAACACATGAGGCTGATGGCACAGTTGGATATGTTGGATATGCAAGGTTGGACACCATCACACACTCCTCGAGAGGATGATGTTATGGTATAAGTACACAGACTCTACCCACTGTCAGCAAGCCAAACCCATCACGGTGACCCTCAATGACTGCTGATCTCTTCATGTGGCTTTTGAGAAAGCCTAGTCTTTCACCCATGGAGCAGTTGGTGTGTTTTAACTGCCAGCTTTTCAGTCGGCCGACCAAGGTGTAAATCACTATATTTACCAAGACTCCACACATTTTACTCAGAGCTATTTTATATCAAAGAACTTCAGTGAAAGTATTTAAGAAATCAAAGAGCCAGGGCTGCCACCTGTTCTCCAAGGGAATGATATATCTGCTGCCTTGGAGCATTTCAGCAATAGGCCAAATTGTGGCATTAACTGATTGAGTCCTAACAATTTTATTTGGGAGTTATCAGGTGGGTCTAGACTCTAGCAGATGTGGGAAATGGACAGATGCCGATTGCTTATGGGCCTCTAGAAAGGGAAATTTTGGGGAAATATTGAAAACTCTTTAGGGATCCACAAATTTTTAAAGATCATTCTATTGTGGGCTCATACAACTCTTATCACAATCCATACATTCACCTGCTGTGTCAAGCACATTTGTACATTTGTTGCTATCATCATTCTCAAAACATTTGCTTTCTGCTTGAGCCCTTGGTATCAGCTCCTCATTTTCCCCCTCCCTCCCCGCTCTCCCTCCCTCATGAACCCTTGATAATTTAGAAATTATTATTATTTTGTCATATCTTAGCCACGCCCTTCACCCACTTTTCTGCTGTTCATCCCCCAGGGAGGAGGTTATATGTAGATCCTTGTAACAGGTTCCCTCTTTCTACCCCACCCTCGCTCCACCCTCCAGTAGCGCCACTCTCATCACTGGTCCTGAAGGGATCATCTGTTCTGGATTCCCTGTGTTGCCAGTTCCTATCTGTACCAATGTACATCCTCTGGTTTAGCCAGATTTGTAAGGTAGAATTGGGAATATGATAGGGGGGTGGGGTTTGTGTGGCGGGGAGGAAGCATTTAGGAACTAGAGGAAAGTTGTATGTTTCATCATTGCTACACTGCACCCTGACTGGCTCGTCTTCTCCCCGCAACCCTTCTGTAAGGGGATGTCCAGTTGCCTACAGATGGGCCTTGAGTCCCCAATCTGAACTCCCCCTCATCCATAATGATTTGATTTTTTTGTTCTTTTATGCCCGATAGCTGATCATCTCTTCAACACCTCATGATCACACAGGTTGGGGTTGTCTTCCATGTGGGCTTTGTTGCTTCTGAGCTAGATGGCCACTTGTTTACCTTCAAGCCTTTAAGACCCCAGATGCCGTATCTTTTAATAGCTGGGCACCATCAGCTTTCTTTACCATATTTGCTTATACACCTGCTTTGTCTTCTGTGATTGTGTCAGGAAGTGAGCATCATGGAATGCCAGTTTAGTAGAACAAATTTTATTGCTTTGAGGGAGTACTTGAGTGGAGGCCCAATGTCCTTCTGCTACCTTAATACTAAACCTATAAATATATGCACAGAGATCTATTTCCCCACCCTCATATACAAATCTATTTACATATGTACATGCCTTTATTTAGACCTCCCAGACATGCCAATTTGCCTCCTAGTTCTTTCCTCTATTTTTTTTTTCCTTTCCTTTTGTCCCACTCTCATGCTCAGCTTTCATTTGGGTTTCAGTAATTCCTCTGAGTTACATTACCCTTGATCATGCTCTACCAGGCCTCCTGCACCCTCCTGACCACCGATTTGAGGATCCACAACTTTTAACTGTGCATTTATTTTCTACTCTGGACTATTAATAAACAAACAATTAGTTAAAGAGACACCAAGGTTTTTCATTCAGATAAGTGAAAATATATGAACTTACTGTTAACATATCATCACATTTCATATCTGGCGTGTCACCATCTTCACTCTTATTGTAGAATTTTCGGAAAAAATTGAATGCCACAACAGTGTATAAGTATACAACAACCGCTAACAAGCCAACAGTTAAGACAAGCTGTAAAGCAATGTGAAAAGGAACGTGTATTAGAGTTACAAGATATTTGACTGGTGCATTTTGCAGTGATGTGGAAATGGGACACACCAGTGAATATATTTGATTTACTGACAGGAATCTAAAGAAACCCATACCTAAAACCTTTCCTATTTCCCCAAGGGGATTTTTTCTCTCATATATATTCTTGTCATTTTACCAGTTGTCAACAATTTCATGCCAAAATTTACTTACTTAGTTGCTATGTGGGTAGTACAGTGAAAGCATATCTAAATTGATATTAATAATATTAATTTTCAAAACTCACTGCCATTGAGTCAACTGTTATTCATAGTGATCCTAAATGACATGGTAAAACTGTCCCTGTAGGTTTCTGAGATATTTACTCTTAATGGGAGTAGAAAGCTTTGTCTTTCTCACATGGAATGGCTGGTGGGGTCAAACCACTGACCTTGAGATTAGCAGCTAAGTAGCTTAAAATTCTCATTTTTCTATCATTAAATATTTTGTAGTAAGTACTGTACAAGTACTTTCTCCATTTTTATAAGATTAAATCTCTTTTAGTAGTTAACATTCCTAAGGAAAGCGATATAATTTTTGTTAATGATAAAATTATGAGAAATAATATTTTCAATCATATGCTAAAATACGAATTTGCATGGGAAACACACAGCTATTAATAATTTGCACTAAAATTTTAAAAATAAAGCCAAAAAGTCTTGGTTTGCTAATATAGAGATGATCAAAGGACATCCTAGTTTAGTGACCAAAGTTATCTTGAAGGTTAGTTTTCTTAATGTATAATTAAATGTCACAGTTTGAAAGATCTTTCCTTATTTCTATGCAAATTTAATTCAAAATTATATTTTGCTTCTATATATGTAATCTTCATAAAGGTATATTTGTTAACATGTGTATTTTAAAGTATGATTTTGTCAATTTGGTAAAAATCTTCTGACTCTATCACAGAAATTTCTAACATACTAAAAATGCATTATTTTTCCAGCCTTCTTCTTTTATTACAATTCATCCTCATGCCCTTCACTATATGTGCATATGTTGAGTTAGGTCTATTTTTAAAAAAATCACTTTTTTGTTAGGGGGGAAAACAAGTCATTTTACGTGAGTGCTAATCCTATAAATGAAATAAAAGGTCACTGTAAATTTCTATATGATATTCCCATTAAAACTATTCAGTTCTATATATGAGTGGTCCTTAAAATTGATGAAAAAATTCTACCTTTTAAATTTCATTTTTTCCGTGAACTTTTTGAAGCTCCCTTATATTTCTAAAAACTGATTCCACAAAAGTTCAGAAGTCAATTGAAAACCGTATCAGATGTGTTATGTGAAAGTCACAGTGCATACAGACTCTCTAGTCCATTACAAACTTAGGTAGACCTTGTTTAACTGTGCTTCCCTTTATTACATTTTTAAGATATTCCATGTATTACAAATGGAATGTTTGGGTTTTAGAAATGAAAGTCATATATGTAAGAACCATTCCCTGGAAATTAGGAAATTTACCTGTGGGCCTACAGAAGGACATAGATCCAGGTTTTTAGGAAGACAACAAAATGTGCTGGACTATAAAATCTTTTGATACTAATATAAAATGTGTGACTCAGTACACACTGGATACATAGAGAATTAATTAAGAAATGCATATTTCTGTTACATGTTTCATAATATGGGGAGATTTTAAACATTAAAACTGAATTCCATTTGAATATAAACTAATCTAGACCAAGGGTCAGCAAGTTTTAGAGATGAAAGAGACAATCCTGCCTCTCACAACAATATAAAAATTATTCAAGAGCTGTAAATATACTTTTTAGAAACAAATACAATCACAATTTTCTGAATAATGTCCTTAAATTTTTTTGAATTTTACTTCGGAGCCACAGGTACTGCCAAATGAGCTACACATGGCTCTCAAGCCTCAGTTTGCTGACACCTGGTCTAGACCCAGACAAGTTTTACTCCAAGTAAGTATGAACTGGTCAAATATAAAACATTGTTAACATTTTAATTCAATTTAAAGTGAAGAAAACAGCACATACATACACAGTTTTAAAATGTTAGATATACAGCATCTGATGCTCAATTTCCAAGACTAGACATTGAAAGCTGTAACTCAAGTTGGGTCCCTATAGTGAGTGTGAACACTGTATTAGGAAGACAATAACTAGTTGCCTGAGCACTTAGTCTCTGCCAGGAACTATGCTTAGGTCTCTTTCCACAGGTTTTGTATTGAATTCTCATAAGAATGCTATAAGGTGGGTGGTTATATAATTTCGGTTACAAAATGAGGAAGTTAAATGTACATATCCTAAATAATTTATCTGAGGTCTTGCAGATACTTGATTGAGTTGAGGGTTCAACTAGGCCTCTCAGGACTCAGCATCCATACAGGGAGGTTTATCAAACTGTACCTTTTTTTTCAAGTTTGAGAGAGAATATACGAAAGGGGATATTTTGGAAAAGAAGTCCAATGGATCATGAAGACAAAAGCCACATTCACGCCCATCGAGTTGATGGTGACCCCTAAGGCAGGGGAGAACTGCCCTGGTGAGTTTTTGAGACTCTAAGTTATTTATGGGAATAGAAAGCCCTGTTTTTCTCCCGACAAGTGGCTGGTGGCTTAGAAATTCTGACCTTTTGGATCTCAGGCCACAACACCACCAGGGCTCCAGAAGGCCATTAGCTAATCTAAAAGGGCTGGCAGAATGTACAGCAGAACCTTATATTCTGATAATGGTGGACGCCCCACCATAAGCTTGCTTTCTGGAAGGTGTTCTGCTATTGGCTGATTTTCTGCAGTGGACCTTCACTTCCCAGGTATGTATTCTAGACTGTTAACTGTTGATGGGAGTAAAAAATATCTCAACTTTTTCCCTAAAAAGGACTGGTGTTTTCAAACTGTTAATCACTTTGAAGTGAAAAGTGGAGGCATTCTATCGAATAAAAAATATTGTTTAAAAAGTGGATTATCATTTGTCCAAAACTCAAACCAAATTCACTGTCTCTCAACTAAACAACAGTTTATAACTGTGGGCTTACGAGGCTGTAAACCTCTACTAGGGCGGAAACACCATGTTTCTTCTGTGGAAACTTGGTGGCTTTGGACTGTGGCCCTTCTTGTTAGCTGCCCAATGCATAGCCCAGCAGACCACCAGAGTGTCTTATTATCATTTGTAGGTGTTTGTTTGTTTTTCTTATTTGTAGCTTCTTTAACTTCTGCCATGTGGAGTAGGGGACGGCGAGGGTGGGGTGGAGATAGACTTTTACCTGTTTGCCATTGTGAGTTACTGATGACAAGATGGTTCGTAAAGTCTTGAATCCCATAGCGATGTCAAGAAGATGAGCAGCAAAGAAAAAGTTGTTATAATGCCCCAGAATGGACATAGTCATATACCAAGCTAGGTAGAGGAAGGACTATAAAGACAAAACAGGGTTAAGGGGAGAAAGGTATCAGAAAACAGAATGCATGACTATTGCCGCAAGCTATTCTGATTTCCTTCTATTCAATTCATTTATTTCATCTTCTAATTAGGCGTATTGGGGTTTATTTGTAGTATGTTTTATTTTATTTTCAGTTTGTCCTAAAGGGTTAAATGGTATTTTCTCCTTTAATACAGAGTAACTCTTATACTTATCTTCCTACAAGGCCAAATTTATTGATTTACTACTTTAGATCAACTTTCTCAAGATAGTTCTCTGTTGCAGGGGCCACCCCGTGCATTGAAGGATGCTCGGTACCAACACTGGCCTCTAAATACTAGATACAAGTAGAAATGCCCCCTCCAGCTATTACAATGAAAAATGTCTCCAGACATTGAAACATTTCCCTGGGGACAAAACTGTCTCCACTTGAGTGCCACTGTTCTGCAATCAATCAAATAACCAACCACTTAGCTTCTCATTCTCCTTCCTTTCCTTATTGTCTTCTCTTTTATCTCCCTCCCTCCCTTACAGCCTCTCTCCTCCTTTCATTTATTTACTTATTCACTAAATCAGTGTTTGCTGAGACCTATGAGTTACAAGACATTATGTGAGGTGTTTTATTTGCCAAGCATCATGCAAAGGCATGAGTAGAAGAATGATTTCTAGCAGAAAACTAAAATATTACTTGATGTCACTGAAGATTAAAGTAGACTGACTAGTACAATTGATATTGGTTGTAGAAATTTCCTGGATGATAATCAATGTAAAAGCGTAACTTTACATAGTCTAGGATATATCCTTTGAGGTGTAATGAATAGATATAATAAAAATATTATAATTTCTCCTATCTTTCAGAATACAGGTTTCCTTCTTAAGGCCATGTTTTGCCGAGTTAATAAAGAAATATTCATTTTAGAAAGTGATGGAAAACTTTATTTGGATAATATCTGTAATGAAGACAAGAAGAGAAGACAGATGGGGTTTAGGTGGTAGAAGAGTTTTTGTGGGTACTGTGGGACTGAAGCTAGAGATCAAGCAAAAGAAAAGAGGATTTTAAAAAGACATGGAGCCCCCCAGAAGAATTTATTTCAAAGTACGGCACTGAATATGCAGCTCCGGGAGAAGGGCATATTTGATCGGAGCACAGGGCAGCAAATGAAGGGGGAAGAAGAGAGAGTGGAACACATCCTTGCCCACCAAGCCTTGAGGATGATGTTTCCGATTAGAGCAGCCAGTCTACAGAGAGGACCACATGGCCAGCCCCACTATGAGACACAACGTCCTTCACTGACCTATAGCCCTACAGAGGACAACACCAGAGACACAGTATGTGAACTGTGCCTGATCTGATGCCACCAAACTGAGGCAAAACACTAAGGGGGTGCAACAAAACAGCAAGGGAACGGAGCGGCAAGGTCCCCAGGGAATGTCGAAGGTGGACTTTGGGCCAGGGCTTGGTGCTCCAATAGACTGGACTGGAAAACACTCCAGAAGGCCAACAAACAGTCCTTGAGCTAACTACAAGCTCTTCTTTCTAGTTGTGTTTTGTTTTTTTGTCATTGGTTTGTTGATCTTTTGTTGTATATTGTTGCTTAGTTTTGCTCTGTCTTGTTTTTGTGCATGTTATTATCTCTGCAGGTATGTCTCTATAAGATAGGCTGGATGAACAATCTGGAGGAGAAAACAACAGTTTTCTGGGGACATGGGAGAGGAGGTGGTGGGGGGGAAAGGTAATGGTGTTAACAAACCCAGGGACAAGGGAACAACAAGTGATCCAAATCGGTGGTGAGGAAGGTGTAGGAAGCCTGGTAGGGCGTGATTCAGGGTAAAGTAACCAAGAGGCATTACTGAAACCCAAATGAAGACTGAGCATGAGTGGGACAAGAGGAAAGTCAAAAGAAATAGAGGAAAGAGCTGGGAGGCAAAAGGCATTTAAAGAGGTCTAAATAAAGGCATGTACTTATGTAAATATATTTACATATGAGGATGAAGAAATAGATCTCTCTGCATATATTTATAGGTTTAGTATTAAGGTAGCAGAAGGGCATTGGGCCTCCACTCAAGTACTTCCTCAATGCAAGAATATTTTCTTCTATTAAATTGGCATTCTATGATGCTCACCTTCCTGACACAATCGCTGAAGACAAAGCAGGTGAATAAGCAAAGGTGGTGAAGAAAGCTGAAGGTGCCCGGCTATCAAAATATATAGCATCTGGGGTCTTAAAGACTTGAAGGTAAACAAGGTGCCATCTAGCTGAGAAGCAACAAAGCCCATATGGAAGAAGCAAACCAGCCTGCATAATCACGAGGTGTCAAAGGGATCAGGTATCAGGCATCAAAGAACAAAAAATCATATCATTGTGTGCTCACCTCCCCGATATGATCACTGAAGACAACTGGGTGCATAAGCAAATGTGGTGAAGAAAGCTGATGGTGCCCAGCTTTCAAAAGATATAGCCTCTGGAGTCTGAAAGGCTTGAAGGTAAACAAGAAGCCATTTAGTTCAGAGGCAACAAAGCCCACATGGAAGAAGCACACCAGCCTGTGTGATCATGAGGTTTCAAAGGGACCAGGTATCAGGCATCAAAGAACAAAATATCATATCATTGTGTATGAGGGGGAGTGTGGAGTGGGTGCCCAAAACCCATCTGTAGGCAACTGGACATCCCCTTACAGAAGGGTCTCAAGGAGGAGA